GGGGACGCAGGGCAGAGGGGGGGGCCCTGCCTGGCGCGTGGGTTTTGGGGGCCCCCAGATCCGAGCCCGCCGGTGAGCGGGAGACCCTCGCTGGCGTGTGCGGAGTCGGAGAAGTTGGACAAGACCCAGCTGCTGGGTGCCTGCGGGTGTGGGGTGGGTCGGGGTGGCATTTCAGGGGCCCGGATCACGGTGCCCCGAGTCTTGCTTTAGGAAGCCCCTCTCCTCCACAAGCCTGGAGGGACAGTCCCCCCTCTCTGAAAGGCGGGAGGTCCCAGAAACTTCCCGAAGTTGTTCTGCAGCCTTTTGAGGCTGCGCCCAGGGGTCCACTGGGACGTGGGAGCAGTCGGGAGGTGAGTAAAATTGAGTTCAGAGGTGAACAACTTGTTCCCTCATTAGACATCTTATTTTAAAGATATTTAACAAGAAACATATTTTTTTAAAAAGTGGTGCACCTTAGTGGGGACAGCGGGCCTTATCCCGGGGAGACAGCCTACCTGACCACAGGGCCAAGCAGGGACCTCATGCCCAATTTCAGGCTTGGCCTCCGAGTCCTGGCTCCCTAATTCCAAAACTCCTAGAGGGACACGGGGGTGGGGGGGGTGGGGGGGGTGGAAGGAGCTAAAAAGTGCCAAAACCCTGACCTTCGTGGGCACAGAGGTTTTGGGGTTTGGGTTACAGTTAGGACTGAGGTTGCAGGTGGGGGTCTGAGTAGCATTGCTGGTGTGTGGCCTGGAGCCCCCCTTTCCACCATGTCCTCACTCAGGGGGTCTGCAGACTTCACAAAGAGAGTCTTTGTTGGCAGGTAGGTCGAGTCCTGTCTCCTTCCCCTTTCTGGGTGGGCCAGGTGGTGGTGGGGTGCCAGCCTACTTAGATCTGTCCCAGTGCAGGGACCTCATAATGGGGCCCTGGGGCATTGGGGTCACAGCATGACAGGGACCCCCACTCAGGACCCTGGAGCTCTTCTCAGCACTTGCTGGCACCTGTGTTCTATTCCTCTTTCCATCTCCTATGTTGCATTCCAAGAGAAGTAAGTGCTGCCCCTGAATGTTGTATCTTTTGGGGTGCCTCCTGCTGCCAGTGCACCCCTTTTCGGAAATCCTCAGCTCCCCATTTGCATCCAAGATGGACTCTCCTGGCTTTTCTGTCATCATCCCTCACGCCCTGCAGCCGGGCAGCCTGCTCCTGGGTTGCCAAGCCGAGTCCCGGCCAGCGGTGGCATAGTTAGACAAAGCCCCTGCGTCCCCCGCCGGAGAGCCCTCCCCGGGGGCGCCCCGAGTGGCGGGAAGGCCGCCAGCTCCCCAGGCCGGGCAGCCTCTTTGTCTGGCGTGGGGGCGGGGAGCTCGGCCCCAGGAGCTTCCTGGCCCCTCTGCTGCTCACACTGGCTCATTGTCTGATGCTCCGGAGACGAGACACGCTGACGTGGAGCTGGCTGCTCCCGTGGCCTCGGCGGCCAGCCCTCCTGTGTCTGCAGGAAGGAGTGGCCACCACTGCAGCTGGGGGCCCCTGCTTCACTGTCCAGGGCCAGAGACACTCTCCTCCGGCCCTGGAGAAGGGACTGGCAATGGCCTAGGATCGGGGGTCACCTACCATGTGATGAGAGTGACAGTCACTCCTCCCTCCCCGCCCCTGTGGTCCCCCAAGGCCTCAGCGCAGTCCCATTCAGGAGAGTCTAGAGGGACCCTGGCTTCAGAGAGTTGGGGAAACTGAGGCCCATGGAGGGAAAGGCGTTGCCTGAGACCACACAGCCCACAAGAAAGGAGACTGGAGACGGGGAGGAGGGATGGAGGAGAGCTGGCCCCGAGGTTCCACCTTGTTTCCTGCCAGGAGCTTCTAGAAGGCTCCAAGGGCCTGGCCATTCACCATGCCCAGTCTGACACCTACCATCTGTGCCTTGCTGAGTCCAGGGCGGTGCCAGAACTTAATCTGAGTTCAGGTCCACCCCTCCCCAGAAGGCTCTGGAAGCTGGGGCTTGGCTGATGGGGTGGTACCCCAAGGGTGTGAGCAGTACTTAATTATGGACAGGTGTGCTGTCATTCCTACTTTGCAGATGGATAAACTGAGGCTCCAAGGGGCAATAGTGACTGGCAGTCACCAACTGGGGAGTAACCCAGCTAGGGCTCAAACCCAAGTTACGAGATGGTACCCCAAGCTTTAGTGTGCACCGGTATCTGAGCAGAGGACATCTGGACGGGTCAGGGCCCTGGGAGGTGCCCTGGGTATAGACAGCTCCTGGGTCCTGGACAGTGAGGTGGGTGTTCAGTGGTGCTTCCTGTGCTGAGTGACCGCTGCCCCAGGTCTCTGTCCTCTTGTCTGGAAGGCCCTCCTCCCAGGGGTCCCCAGGGCCCCTTCCTGTTCCTACACTGACATCCGCTGGCCCCTCCCCTCGCCCACCCCAGACGAGCAGCTGGTCGCCTTGGCCAGCCTTGGTATCAGCTGTCCATCCCTGGGGCCAGGTCTGCGAGGCTGCAGTGCGGGAGAGAGGGGCCGTGTGGGCTCTGGGGGTGGCAGACGGTGGGGGGAGCTGCTCCCCCTGGGGTGTGGAGGACTAGGTAGATTTGCCATGGTTACCGCTCTTTGTAATTCCGCAGGACTGCTAATGGCCACTCAGACGCCATTATGGGTTCGCATGCTCTCAGCCACGGAACCAGCAAGGGCCCCCGATGCATGCTGTACCCAGAAGTCCCTGAGACCTTCCTAAGTCGCTGCCCAGTGGCCCAGTGCAGGGCCTCGGAATGCTGCCTTCCCCACGTGGGGCGACTTCTTGGGGTTCTGAGTTTCATGAACACAGAATAACAGTCAGGCTTGCCTCCTCTTTTGGGGGAACACAGAGAAAGAGCCTTGGAGAGTTTGCGAGGCTCATCTGAGGCCCCAGAGAGAGGGGGGTGTATACACCAAGGCTCTCAACAGCCTTGGGGGTCCTCATCTTCACGCCTCTTGTCTTCCTCTCCACGGAGTTCCCACCTGTGTAGAGGAGCCATCTGCCTGGGTGGGGTGCAGGCCCAAGAAAAGGGTGAGGAGACTGGCCAGGACCAGCAGGGAGTGGCCATCAGTTGTATCTCAGGAGCAGTTCTGGGGTCGATTAGCAATGCCTGCTGTGGTGCTGGGGCTGAAGATGGGGTCTCGGGCTTGGCTCTCGCCATCGATTATCTAGGTTGTCAGGATGTAGGCCCTTCAAGGTCCCGCGGTGCGGACGGAGCCCCTCTCGATTCCCAGAGCCCCGTCTTGAGTACTGAGGTCCACAGCCGTGCAATTCTTGACACCTTGTCTTGTCTCCTCTCCCACAGCTGGGAGTGTCCACTCTCCATCCACCAGCATGGCCACGTCCTCCCAGTACCGCCAGCTGCTGAGTGACTACGGGCCACCGTCCCTCGGGTACACCCAGGTATGGCGGGTGTGGTGAGGACGTGGATGGTGTGGGTGTGGGCTCCACGGGAAGCACGGGGGTGAGAGTGGGCCATGGGACTGTCCCCTGAGCTCCGTTGTCCCACGGTCCAGCTCGGTCAGGTCAGTAAACATAAGAACAGAGGGGTGACCAGGATCACCTATCCTGGGGACACAGTGTGGTGGGAGGAAGGCAGCCCAGGTAAGATCTGCTCACTGGTTTCTGGGGAGGACAGGTGTCTGGACCCCACCTCTGGGTCCTTCCCTTTCCTGACTGCCGAGCCAGGGCCTGGCTGTGTGGCTCTCACCTCTCACCGGACCCTCCCACCTCCTCAAGGCGTGGGGCTCAGTTTTCTCATCTGTCGGGGTTCAGGTGGGGGTGCTAGTGTTAATGTCAACCTTGTTGGGGTGGACAGAGGCATCCTTCAAGGAATTAATCTGCTTTAACCAAGTTCTGAACCTATGAAAGGCTTACTGTTCCCAGGGTGAGAGTTGGTTGGCCCAGCCCCTTGTTCTGGAACATTCTGAGGATACTACGGAGATCATTTCTTGGAACGTGGTGGCCAGGGCTCCCACCTGGGGCCGTCTTGGTGGCCATGCCGCGTCAGGGAGCCTTGTCCCGGGAGGAGAAACTGGCTTGGAGAGAGCGAGGCCGCCTGAAGATGCTGGCGTGGTGGGGGGACATGGACCGGCCGCGGGGCACCCTGGCCATGAGGCGGAGACTGGGCCGTGAGGGCTCGGGGACGAAGGAGAGGGAGAGAGGCCCGGAGACCCAGAGGCGGTGCCAGGGTCCTTCTGAGGACCTGGCTGACCAGTGGAGGAAAGGCCTGGAAGCCCAGAGACAGTGGCGCCTGGAGCGGAAGGCAGCCCAGGCCAGGGCCTTACGGAGGGAGATGGCCGCCCTGGTGCAGCTGTGGGAGGACGCTGAGGACCCCCGACCCCTGGAGAGCCTGGCCTCACCACTCTGGGTGCCTGCCTGGGGTGGGGACTGCCAGTGGGAGGATGGGGGGATTCAGCTCCGTCCAGGGTCTTGAGCGACCCTGTTGCCCCACTGACGCGATCTTGTCCAGCCTTGTCTGGTGTTCCTGGGCCCTCAGTTTCTGAGATGTACTTGCCCATCATCTAGGATCTAGAAAGAGTCCCTGTAACACACTGGTTAAGTATTGAACTGCCAACCAGAAGGTCAGTGGTTCAAATCCATCAGCTGCTCCATGAGAGAACTCTGTGGCTGTCTCCTTCCTTAGACCCATAGTGACCCTTACAGCCTCGAACGAAACTCAACTCGGGGCTCAGCTTTCAGCCAAAAGGCCTGTGAGGTGACCAGCATCACTAGGCAGGACCCGTCCTTAGAATAACCAGCCCTACCGGAAGTGAAGTATTTGCCCAAGAACAGAGTCCAGAAGCAGGAAGGGGTAGCAAGTGAGGCAAGGAGGGTGACATTCTGGGGATTGTCACTCATGTAAAATGTAACGTGTGGATGGTTGAGAGGGAAACAAGTTTGCTTTGCAGGCTTTTACTTCCGGTCACAATCTTGAAAAACAAAAGAAGCTGAACATTCTTGGAAGCCCTTGGTGGTGGTCTTGGCTATCGGGTGTCTCTGAGTGGGAACTGCTCCCATGGTCCTGGATTGGGTTTGATTTTTTTTTTTTTGGTTCTGGAAGTTTCTCTGCTATTCCTTCTGTTTGAAATGGCAGGAGAACCTTGGTAGAGACTTCTGGGTGGTCTGAGCTGGGACAGCAGGCAGTGGCTTGGGGGTCCTGGGCCAGGCTGTCCCCTCCGGTCTGCCCTCGCCGATGCCTGTCAGGGTGGCCGCGGTCTGGGTCATGTTGGGCCGTGTGTCCGGCTGAACCGGTCTTCTGTTTCCAGGGCACTGGGAACAGCCAGGTGCCACAGAGCAAGTACGCAGAGCTGCTGGCCATCATTGAGGAGCTGGGCAAGGAGATCAGGCCCACCTACGCGGGCAGCAAGAGCGCCATGGAGCGGCTGAAGCGAGGTGAGCCTGTGTGCGCGTCCTGCCCGGGGTCCCTGCACACGTCCGTGGGGCAGGTGGGCGAGCAGCTGGGGTCTCTGCAGACGTCCGTGGGGCAGGTGGGCGGGCAGCTGGGGTCCCTGCACACGTCTGTGGGGCGGGCAGGTGGCTGGGGTCCCTGCAGACGTCCGTGGGGCAGGTGGTCGGGCGGCTGGGGTCCCTGCAGACGTGCGTGGGGTGGGCAGGTGGCTGGGGTCCCTGCAGACGTCCGTGGGGCAGGTGGG